GTTGATGTGGTGATTAAATTGTGTTTAGTGATTGCACTTTGCAAACGTACATATTTTTAATCGCAGGTGATTATTCTCTCGTTATGGCACGCTCACGTGAATAAACACTACTTGTTGATTCTGTATTACGAAGACAAACCAGTGAGGGACCTAGATAATAAGCTCGTCGACCTTGCAAAATCCTTGAGCTAGGAATTTTTGGCTCGACACATCACTATGAATTTACCATCGAAATATTAGACAGCGCATATATTGTTTTGGTCATGTGACGTTAAAGTTCTTTATGTAGAAAAATTCGTTTGCTCGTTTTTTTATTTTGTAGGATTTGGCTTTACCTGCGGTCGTTTATTGTAATGAACAAAGCACCTTTTATTGAGACTTAATTTTTTGTCACATTGACAGAAAACAAAAATAATAAGAACGATCCGTGTTGTCCAAGGTGGTTACATTACATTAGATTAAAATTTGCCTTTGTTTTTTAGTAAAAATTATTTACCAGGATCTACTAAAAACAATACAAGAGTATCAGTCGTTAAATTATACATGATCATTAGTTACAAAATGAGATGTCCATACTTAAAGAAGTGACTGTTTGATGATAAAGATGGTGATTCTTAATATAATGAATTAATATCAACATGAAAGACTGTTTGCTTTAAAAATCGTTGAAAAAATGTTGTAATTATACATATGCGCATTCTTCACAATAGCTATCAATGAAATTACCATACACGAATATCGTTCGTAAAACGATGACTGATTAGATTTTAATTGTAATAAAAATATTATTACAACCAGTCTACAGCGTAGTATTTTAATTTTTTAGTCATGTGAGCCTTTATTATTTTTCTTGGCAAACATGCAAATCGTATTTGTTATCATTTTTTTTTTTTCATGGAATTAGTAAAAAAAAGATTTGTATGTAAAATAGTATTATTCTGCTCGATTTTCATTATTGAAATATGTTTATAACTACATATTTCATTAAAACAGTAAATTACGTCAACAAAGCTTTACCCCTTCCTTTCTTTTCTTTCTACCAAATCTCTACACATCAAATTAATTTTGTACAACTTCCATTAAAAGACATCACTTTTAAAAATACCTTCACAGATCAAAGCGATTTATGACGTTAAGCCGTTTTTTTTTCATTTTACACTTTTGTCCTTGACAAAGTTCTTTAACGACCTTTATATTTTAATATCTTTTGAAAAGTCTTGATAAGGCTGCACATGCATGGAGTCCTGAACTTCCAGGACCAGCCATAAGCCCGTGTGAGTATGGCTGAGAACTCGTGAGTCGTGAGAATCAAGAACACATATACTCTTTTTGTCGCACTCACAGGGGATATGGACTGGTCCTAGAAGTTCAAGACCCCATGTATATGCACCCAAAGATAGCATTGCATACATTTTCGATAAAATTAGAATTGGTGAATGTAACCATGCATATTTACAACAGCTATGAAGTGTACAACAAAACGAAGACTTTGTTATATTGGCTCAATATAAGTATGTAAAGTAAAAGAGATTCTTATTATTTGCTCAACACTTCTCTCTTTTCCAACAATCAAAAAAAAAATTACATATTCTATACGATCAATACATTATTTATACGCTTGTAACAAGCTCATAATACATACAACTCCGATTATTTCTAAAAGTTTTAAACAGTTTGTATTATCATACAAACGATTTTAGAGGTAGAGACTACTGGCTACAGCATTTTGACACTTTTAACAGGTCATTGGAAAATTCGGAAATTGATGTAAGGATGCTTACAAATAGCAAGATTGGCATCAACCACGGATTTAAACAAAAAATCTTTTTAACTTTAAAGAAAGGCTTGGTTGTTTCTTCTAAAGCATTACTGTGGACATATCTTTTGCAACTCATTTTAATAGGACGATGATCAAATGTTAAAGCTTTTTTGAGATAGTATTTCTTCACATTAGTGTGTGCATCAACATTGCTTGTTGATTGTTATATTGATTATGAATTTTTTTTGCAACTTCATTTAATTACCACTATTATTTAACATATTGCAGTGTATCTTCTTCGATCATTTTTTTCTATATCTTTGCAGTACTTTAAGTGGCAATATATACGCTTTTTGAATTTAAGTTTTCAAATATGCGTGCGCTTGCTCACTGGCGAATCCTATGTTAGGGCGTTTTGATTGGCTGTATATAGTCGCGTGCAAAGAAACATCCCTTATTTATGTTTTTCTCAGTACTCTGTCGGAAGCCCAGTATTGTGCCTTTTTTTAAGGAAGCTATTAGTCTTGCAAAAAAAAATTTGTTAGCTACCAACATGGTCAGGACCTTTTTCTTTTTCAATTTCAGAGATATAATTCTGATTTGAAAAGAGATATATTCATAACTTTTTTATAACAACAAAAAGAGGTACGCTTATGATTATTCTTGAGACGTACTCAAACAGTTTCTTGTGTAACATTATTTTTTTCATATAACTTTGCACGAGATTTTGAACGGCTATCATCATCCATTGTTTTGAAGACGCCCGTGAACGCTGTTTAACAAGAGGAATATCTGCATTAGTGAGTTTTTTACTTTTTACGCTGTAGACAATTCCTGCTTTTTAAGTACTCTTTATTGTTTTATAATATTTATGAGTAATGACGGCATGGATACCTAATATAGAATTGAAGACCGACACACACGTATAGCCATACATCCGGAAACCCGTATGGCTCATGCGTGCTCCATGTTGCGCGAGCACATACAGAAGCAAAAAATATGCTTATTCCACCTAAGGAAGCGCATTTGCGCACTGTGCTGCTTGCTCCTGTTTTAGAAGTCTGTCTACAATGTATTGATGGTTCGTTGCGCTGCGTTACGCTCCTACACGACGTACTGTTTTATGAGCTTAAAGCACATAATAATTAAGTAAAAGCTAACCTATTACTTTGTTTATGACATCTTAATTGGGTTTTAGTTCTTACTGTTTAAATTAAAAAAACTAATCATGAGTTTCGAAGAAAACGTGAAGAAATATTTTGAAAAAAACTGTTCTCTAGCAGAAATAAAAGTCTTGATCGAAAAAGACTTTAAATTTACTGAACCAATAATAAAGTCTTTGGAATAGAAGTTAGAATTAAAGAGAAGAAACGTAACAGAAAGTAATTTGCATGATATTTGTGTGACCGTAGTTGAGGAATTAAATTCATCAGGCTACAATGTAGGGTACAGGGCGCTGTGGCAAAAATTAAAAAAAAAACACAATCTGAACGTCAAAAGAGAGACAGTTTATCAGATACTAAGAATAGCAGATCCAGAAGGAACAAAGAAGGGTTCGGTAATAAATTGCATCGTAGAGAGTACCTAAATCCAGGGCTAAATTACTTCTGGCACCTGGATGGGTATGATAAATTGAAGCAGTTTGGTTTTCCTATCCATGGATGTATTGATGGATACTTCAGAATGCTACTATGGCTTGAAGTCTCCAACACAAACAACGACCCACAAGTAATATCTTATTATTATTTGTCAACAGTGGAGAGAATTGGTTCTTTACCATCAATGATCCGGTTGGATAAAGGAACTGAAAATGTTCTTATTAAATATCTTCAAATTTCTCCACGAAGTACACATAGTGATAAACTAGCTGGGAAAAACAGTTACATCAAAGGTACAAGTACTAGGATTTAGAGGATTGAATCTTATTGGGGAAAAATGCGTCAAAATTTTGCAGATTACTACATACAGTTTTTCACAGGCATGCAAGGAAAAAATTTATTTGATGGTTCAAAACTTCACATTCAATGTTTACAATATTGTTTTGGAGATCTGATACAAGCTGATTTGCAATTAACCAAGGAAATGTGGAATAAACGTACTGTGAGAAAAAAAAAAGTTTGTAATAACGTAGGAGGAAGACCCTATGTTATGTTTCGCTTGCCAGAGAGGAATCAGGATAAAGACTACAAAAAAAGTGTAGATGTGCAAGCAGTGCAAGCAGTGCAAGAATTGATGGATAAATGTACATCCAAACCAACTCTTATTAGTCCCCTTATCAAAGAACTGATCAATAATTTAGTACCTAATCACAGTATTCCAAAAAATACCGAAGAGGCCCTTGACTTATACAAGAAAGTACTAGAGGCTGTAAGAAACCATCATACAGAGAATTTGTGATAACCTTTATTGTAGTAGTTGAAACAATAGCTATACATGTGTTATGTATCAGTGAAGTAGTAGCAACTTAGTAATTATAGTGTCAATCATTTTAATAGTTTTTTTTTCTATAACTAAAGTAGTGTAAATTTCGCAAATTATTGATAACTTATGAATTTTTAATAATATTCCATGAAGAAACCAATCATTCAATCATGAAAACGTATATCTGCAATGCAATAAGCTTGGGGCCAAGGATGGCCAAGTCTCTAAACAGAGGGATGACAGGTTGCAGTTAGTTTCTGGGTATTGGATACTTCCGAATAATACGGTGTGAATTCTGTTGTAAAAATAAATTTTGTTTTATTTGTCATTTTTTTTATCATGCGAACACATGTATTACAAGTGAGATCTGTTGAAATATAACTACTTTACTAAAATTATACATGTTATTAAGGAGTTTTTTTTTAACACTATAACTAACAATCCTTTCGATCCTTACATAAATTTAAATGTTACACAGGTACAAACAATTATTTAATCGACAATACTTTTCTAACAACATAACATTGTCACTTTATAACGTGCATGTATCAACCAACATTTTTACAACCAGCATACTTTACTATGCACTTTCATTAACATATAGTCTAACTGACTGGTTGTCCACTAAAATTTTAATTTAACGGTAAACACAATTAACTATTATCATAGTATCACAGTGTAACATTAAAAAGCTCATTTTTTATGCTAATTAGTTTTCATCTGCGAAATCGGAATCGGAACATTTCAATACATCTAGTATTGTACTTGCTTTTGGTCCATTGTCTAGCTGATAATCAAAACACTTTAATAATTTTTTTTTTTAATCCTTGGTTATATAACTCATATCGAGTTTTTTGTTTTGAATCATTATTGCTCTTAATGTATTGAACAGACCACACATCATATCATTGTTTGATACAGTCCAGATTGATTTTTCTGAGAAGATCTCAACAATCACACAGCCCAGTGCCCATACATCAGATTTTACTGAATAAGACTGCTTATCAACAACGATCTTGGGTGATAAGTACAAAGTCGTACCTTTCGGGTGCGAGCCTACAATTGAATTTAGCTCCGAATGTAGTCCTTCGAATCGACTTAGCCCAAAATCAATTAATTTTACCTCAAAAGCTTCATTGACAAGTATATTCTCAGGCTTAACATCTTTATGACTGACACTAGGTGTCAAATCATAAATAAAACTAACAGCCATACTGATTTTTTGTGCTATAAAAAGTTTTTTCTCTCTTGTCAAATCAAATGATCTTTTTGAGATGGGATTAAACAGTACTTGTCATAAGCTTTTACTTATAAATAATTATGTTATGATAAAACAGTTCATCGGATCTGCAGATACAGCCATTAATGAAATCAGGTTTGGATGTCTTAAACGAGAAAGTGTTAAAATTTTTCTCTTTAAGTATTTGTAATCATCTTTTAGTTTAATTGTTTTTATTGCGACGGGGGTATTTAACCACATTTCTTGGTTTAAATAGCCAAAAGCTCCTTGCCCTAACTCTTAGCTGAGCATTGTAAAGTCATCCCACTGAATGATAGGTACAGGTATTTGCAAATCTGATAAAAAACTGGTCCAAGTATCCATAGGTTTTCGCTACAAGGACTCCTCGATCACAGAAACTTTCTCACTAGGCAGCACATCTGCTTCTCCAGAAGAAGTTGTGTCTGTACCTTGGTGTGTACTATCATTTTTACTTTTGCCATTGTTCTCAACTGTTTTTTTTGTTTGGGAAAGCAAGTACAGTTTTAACTGTCTGTTTGAAGCTTTAAGGGCTCGGCTAGCAAACTCCAAAAAATCACTGATATTACCTATACCAGCAGAAAAGTCTTTGAACATCGTATTAACAAACAATCTTAAATAAAAATCTCTGGTTTTAAATAAGTCTTTGTTATTCTCTTGAATCATTGCTTCAATGCAGAGTTGTAGAATTTCATCGTACAAATACTTTTTTCCTGCATTTAACTCAACTTTCTGCAATCCTCCGAAAGGATACTTCGTGAGCGTAAACTTCGTCTCATTTTTAAACTGGTGTTTCCACCCTACTGTTAGATTTTTTTAAATTGACATTTTTGCCACTTTACTCTTGGGAAGGGTTGCGTTACGTGGACTTGTGGAACTCGAGCTGTTAATCATTGACAGGATATGATCGACCCTTTTTTTGTTTTTGCTTTGGAAAGGACTTCCTACAAAAAATTAGCTATTAAGATATGACTGAAAAATATTTCGATGTAGCTGTACGAGTATCAACTCACTATTAGTGTTACTCGAACGATTAAATCTTGGATTAAATACTTGATATTCGTCAATGTTATTGTCAAGGACAATTTTGTTGTCTTTAAAGGATAACCCTATCACGTCACCGTTTTGTATACATGTTAATGAAGTTGCTTTTGGAAAATATAAATATAACGTTGACAATTCCAACTTTCCATTTGTAAGCTCCAATTTCACAGATACGTTGTTATCTACAACTTTCACGTAGCTAGACATGTCTTCCTATGATTCTTAATAAAATATTCACAAGACATTTTACAACTCAAGAACGACAAGAACACTAATGTTTTTAACAAAAGAATAGGTTAGCTTTTACTAAATTATAATGTGCCTTAAGATCATAAAACAATACGTCGTGTAGGAGCGTAACGCAGCGAAACGAACCATCGATACATTGTAGACAGACTTCTAAAACAGGAGCAAGCAGCACAGCGCGCAAGTGTGCTGCCTTAGGTGGAGCAAGCACATTTTTTGCTTCCGTATGTTCTCGCACAACATGGAGCACGCATGAGCCATACGGTTTTTCATACTTACATTTCTCCAGCTTCAGTTGATTAATCACGTTTTGTACAATATTCTAATTATACCTGAAGTAGTGACAAAACAATATATAGGTGTATCCATACAATATATATCCTTATACAGGATCACAATCCCAATGGCATTTTCACGAGCTTCACTTGCTCATTCGTATTGTTAACAATACTTTATTGTGTACACTTATGAGAGATTAATTGTCAACCGCATATATACACACACATACACAGCCATATCATAGTTGCTGACACGGAATAGCCATGTGATAAACTTAACTTGCTCGTTTGCATGGTTATCAATTATCCAAGCCTTTTTTATTATAATAAAGAAACTTTCGACCGCATATAAATGTATGTATAGACACACACAAACACACACACACATATATATATATATATATATATCACTCGCACAACAACAGCTGATACTATATAGCCTTTTCGCAAGCACAATCTTATAAAGCAGTCATACTTACTACAAAAATATCGTCGATCGATTTCAATGATCCTGGGTTTCAAATTTTATTTCTATCATCTACATAGCGGTGTGGAAAGAATATTGGACCTAAATATATTCTTAAGTTTTTAAAACGATTAGACAATTTCCCACTACTACTCTCTTTGGTGTTCTTAGAATAAGATTATTCCTATCAGATTTCTAGTAAGCATTTAAAATTAATTATAAACATCAGTTACATTTAATTTTGCTATTGACAGAATGCAATATTTCAGGGCTTACATTTTTTGTTTTCGTTCTACATAGTTGCTAAGAGGTACAATGCAAGTTGAGTCACTTATTATGGTTCTTATTGCAATTCTACGAGTTTTAAAAAAACAGTTTTTCTATCTCAAGGGAGAAGTTTCTAATTTATCTTACGAACCATTGTTATTTTAAAAACTATCTTCTCCATTTTGATTTATCCTTCTATCTTGTTTTGTTGGATTTATTGTGATCTAATGTTTTTAGTTTCTTTCAAAGTTTTTATTTAAATACGTTATAACTCATCGCCCTATTGGCAGAATTCAACGATTTAGGGCTTTAATTGTTTTTTTTTGTATTTATTTAGTAATAATAAATAATTTAAGTTTAGATGAATCTTATTAAGGTTGCAATTAAATTGTTCCAAATTTAAAATTTTCATATTATGAGAATAAAAAAATTTTACTTTGTCACATCGTTTTAAAGATATGACACGTACCTCATTATGGTTTTAATGGTTTTGGGTTGTAAAAAAATTGTTATTGCTGTGTCCATGGCTACTAATTAAAAATGTCTAATAAAAACTAATAAAACTTTTTTTTGTCTGTTTCAGTTTGGTTTTTGCACTAGGAAAACCACATACAAAACAATAACGTTTAAAAAATTTTTTGCATATTAATTTTATCACCAGCACAAGATTGAACATAAGTAAATTAACACTTCAATTACCACCATCTAGATGGCAACACTAAAAAGGGGGAGTTTAAGTGTTTTACGTGGAATTGTGATAAAAGTTTTTTTCTTACTTTTTTTAAGATTACACGTAAAATACTTGAACCCTCCGTTTTGGTGTTTACGTCCGGATGGTGTGGCTTCAATTTTCAATTTACTTATATTTCACCTTGTGCTGGTAAAAAAATAGATATTAGGAAAATTAACTATTGAACGTTATTGTTGTTTATGTGGTTTTCCTAGAACAAAAACCGAATAGAAACACACGAAAAAAAATTTCATCAGTTTTCATTAGACATTTTCAATTAGGTTACTACTGTATATTAATTCCATTAATGACTCAACAATACTTCTTCTCGTCTAAAAATAAGATTTATTTAGTGCATTTCTAATGCGTTTAAATATCTTGGTTTGAATAAAAAATAACTGTATTTCTTACCATGACTCGCATTTGTCAATTTATTTTCTTTTGGTTTTTATTTCCGAAGTAATACAATATCAATATACCATCAAATCGCTATAGAATGCAACCTTTGATATTTTTGTTTTAGCTGGTAATCACTATGCATTATTGCTTCCTCATAGAAGAAGCTTTGTGATTAACAAAAAGCGACATTTCGAGATTGTTTGTTTCAATTACGTCTTCGAAGGCTTAGAACGGATCTAACTACTCCGGCAAAATATCTGTATATCTGTGTGGGTGTGTGTATGTATGAATATATGTGATCGGTCATATCTCGGATTACCGACAACCGATTTGTAGGGATAAGGGCTCATTTTTGACTGTCTTGAAATTCATATCACGGCTGGAAAAAAAATTATGTTTTATACCTTTTAATAAAATCATTATAGTGATTTTTTTTTATTTGTAACGTAGGGAAGATATTGGTAAGGAGGTGCTTCGCGAGAATGATCAACACTTATTATTTCAAGGACTTTTATTCAAGATATCGTAATCATAGGCAAGATAGCACGTGTGTTCCCTTCAAAGGCTTATCTGGTACTCCCCGAATAGACTCTTTTCTTGCTCGCACTTCGCTTCCCTTGGCCCAAGGGCACCTCGTTATGAGGTTTGAGGAGAGGGAGCGTCGAATCTCATCTATACTTTCGTACGTTACACGTCCGAGGCGAGGTTTTTAATTTATATAGTGTTGAATCTGTTTACTTGTTTACAACTTTATGTGTGTGTATGTGTGTGTGTGTGGGTGTGTTGTATCCTGTTGTCTGTGTTGTTTATGTCGTTTGATATTTTACACTCGTTCTAGCATTCAATTATAGGGAACCACTGTTCTCTTTATATTAATATTTTTGCTCTTCCAATTATTTAATTTCCTCTCATCATGTATCGAGTGTTTAACAATATTGTTTGTGTATGCGCTTTGTCTTGTATTACAATTATGTACAAAATTTTCGTGAAATGGGCATATGCTTAATACTACTTCACATTAAATCTTGTTTTACAATGTAGTTTCCATTTTAACTTACACATGTGTTTAATTACAAAAAAAAGTTCCATACAAACTTTTTACTAGAGTATTCAAGTGAAAAAAAAAGTATTTTTGGATCTTGTCCTACGGACTGCGCCCCCTGATACAGTCGAGCAACTCCCGGCACTCACTTCCGTCCACATTCTTATCATCATTGTTATTGATATTATAGCTACAACTACCTTTTTTGTTAACTTTATTCTATTTAAATCTTTTTTCAATAGATCTTAACATAACTCTCTCGCTGTTACACATTTTGGGAAGAAAAAAAAATTCTTTATAAGTATTGTCCTATGGACTGCAGCCCCGATGCAGTTGTGCGACTCCTGGCGCTTATTTTTTATCCCTTATTACTATTACTATTGTTACTATAAACCTTATCATTATTAAAGTTATAGCTACAATCTTCATATAAATTTTTTTTTTTTTTTTTATTTTATATTAACTCAAAACAAGTTTTCCAAT